ATGCTTATTCGCGGATCTTTGTTAATTAAAATCTCAGTAACTATTGCGAATCTAGCAAAATGGTATAGGACTTTTCACCTCAGTTTTATTCCTTTTACCTGCCTACGAGCGATGTTAAACCAATTCTGGGACACCCTGTATATACACTACAGTTTCCGCTCAACATCCTGAAAACGGCTCGTAAGGCCTTATATATTTCTTGGTTTTAATTTCAGCGAGCTTTAAGTCATAATTGTACAAATGTGTAGACTGTGTGCACACCCGAGTCGAAATTTAGCGTCTACATTGAACCTCAATTCCTGTTTTTTTATGTAGGAGTAAGAGAGAGAGAGTAGATGCTACTTTGACGCTGCTATACGTCCGAAATTTCCTTTTTTCAAAAATTGAGGTTCAATGTAGACGCTAAATTTCGACTCGGGCAAGTTCGCAAGCTGAAACCGCGAGCGAGCGAACGCAACTCCGCGCCACCCACGCCATCGTACAAAATACAAAATTGCGTCGAATCTTCTCTCTCATATCGAATCTTTTTCAGTTCAGGTCGATCGTGACATAAACGCGATTGTTTGCTAAAATAACAGCAGTCAGCAATCAGCAAACAAAATGCACAAATCACTGTGTGTAATATCGCGTTAAAACTCTTTCGAGCGATATCACGTTAAATTTGTTGCGCGTTTTACACGTGTATATTTGCTCGTCTCGAGCAATATTATTTGCAGTGTCTGTTGAGAGAGGCTGCGAGTCACGAGAACTTTGCACACACTAGGAATCAAGTTGCGCCATACACACACTCACACACACACACCAGAAATATTTTGTAATCCGCGTTTACTTTCGTTCGTTTCAATTCACGCGAAAGTTTTTTTCTTTTTTGCCAGTATTTGCTTCGCCTTGAATAAAAAATCCAAAGTTAGTCATAATTTAAATCACTAATTGATAATGACGCAAAGATAAGTTTACATTTATTCTAAAATATGTCAAACGACGCGACAGAAAACAAATTTGTCCCATCGATTCCGAAGCAAACAATATCTCTGTGAGAAGTTTCTTTGTAACAGCACGTACGAATAGAACCATTTGATCCTAGAAGTGTCCCTTAGAAAAACAACGAACGTCGTTGGTACATTTTGAAGAGTTGTTGTACGCGTAAAAAGTGCAATGCGCCACGTGACGTTTGCGCGACACATGCTGCTAATCAATATCCGCCGCTACATAATGGATACAGGTTTTTAACGCACACGACGTTTGTATAATTAGAATGCGCTTGAAGCTGGTTTACACCGTATAACCGACGCGAAAACGCGTCGGCGTCCCAACGCCTCCGCATGTACGCGCGGATATATTTATAGACAGGGACGAGTAAAAAGAGAGACGCTCCGACACGTAGGCCATTTTTACGGCGTAAATAAGCTGGGAGATAAGAATAA